CACCCAGCATTACTCATCTGGAAGTTCCTTTAGGTGCATTTATCAGGATTCCTCTGAACCAAAAAGTGATGTCACTGAAAAATGCACACACTGTTCTGGGCTACAGCTGTGGGCCACTTGAAAGGGAAGCAAAACTAAAGCAGAAATTGTTGAAGATAAAAGCTTTGCACTTAGGTCTCCAATGTAAATGGTACAAACCCCTCTGATGTCTGAAACCTTCAATGTAGCTAAATTGCAGATATGTTGTTGTAGAATCCATTGCATTAGTTGGCCTGGACTGTATCTACTTAATCATCTCAGCACCTTGTTGTCCCCCTAATCTATTTCTTTCTTCTTCAGGGGACTGAAAGGTGGTGCCACATATGAAAAATGGTCATAAAGCAATTACGAGACACTGTGGAGGCTCAAGATGGTAACGTCCACATTTTAATCATCTAGGAAGCCAAAATGAGAGCCCCAAAAAACCTCGAGAAGATGCAGCCAGTAGATTGCTGTGGTTGCTACTGAGCTCTTGGGAGCTGTTTTCCTCCTGGGAAAACCCATATTATACATGTTAAACACAGGGGAAAAATTGAAAGAGCGTTATTCTTTTTTTCTTATTACGAGGCTAAAATAATTAAATCCTTAAGAAATCTGGTGGACTGAGAGGGAGAGACTTCCCCAGCACTATGAACAAGCAAAGTAGAAGGGGTTAGATAAAGACACAAATAAAATGCTGCAGTGACCAGCAGCAACACACATATCACACAGCAGTGACAAATTAATTTAGCTCAAGGCAGCTCTTTCTCAGTCCCACTCCCCATTTCTTGTGCCTGTGCTGACTTTCATTGTTCTGCTTTTCTTTTGGATCCTTTCACTGTGGGATGTGTGTGCTACAGGTACAGGAACGTGTCCCCTGGCTCTCCGAGCTGGCAGAGCACCTCACTTGCATCTCAGTAATCAAAGGAGATTTGGGAGCCATCAGGTGGGCTCACTCCTTCAAAACCCCCTCAGTGACAGTGCCACAAATTGGCAGCTTTCAGGAAGATGGCTGCTGCCAGTGCAAGCTTTGATAATAGAAATGGCAGCTGAAATTTAAACTTAGACATTTCTATTACTCAGAGGAAAATGTGCAGTCACAGAAGGTTTTCTCATCATCCAAAATTTCAAGCTGCCGTGTGCAATGCTCTGGGGCCCATTTCTCATAGCCACAATGGTTTATTTTAGAGTAGTTTTGTGACTTTCTGGGAAGAACCCAGGAATTACCGTTTCTGGTGCAGGAGCTGTAAGCTGAGATGATCCTGACCCTAAAACACTCCATTAAAATCAATAACTTTGTGGTTCTGCCTGAGACCAGCATCCCTTTAGCCTCTCTCTTTCAGAGACTGGACAAGTCAGACTGATGGAAGCACAGGATATGTGGTCTGGGACCTTCAACTGACAGAGAATGTGTAGAAGGTGTGCAAGAGTCATGTAGGTTTACTAGATGTGCACTGCAGAGGTATTCATCCACATTATCCCTTTCTATGCATCTCCTGTCACCTCCTTTTCCATGCTCTTGCACCAAAATCCACTTGCAGGAGGAGGAAAACACGTTCTGGCAATGCTGCCAAAGGGCTGCTCAATTCCAGGTCAGCCAACTTTAAAGGGAAGCAGGGTACATTGTCTTCTCCTCAGAAGTAAATGTACATACACATTCCCTTTGTACATATTAAAATATTGAAATATGTAAAAATATGGATTGTAATTAGGGGAAAGTTGGAATAGATTTGAATGTTTAGCATACCCTTGGTATTTCTTGTTTGGTTTCTGCGTGATGCCCTCTGCACAAAATGATACTTCATCCTAATCGTGCCCTCTCCGTGCAATCATGTAAAAATCATGTAAATTTTGCTCTTGTTCATGTTGTTCTTCCTTTGGGAGCTCTAATCTGGTTATCCTGGTCATCCTGGAGGGGAGGAGGTAAGGACACCCACAGAGTTGGGGCTTGCAGGATTAAAGCTTCTGGCAGTGAGCGAGGAAATTTATTCCCCACAGTCCCACAGGGATGCCCTTGGTAAAAGGGTCAGCCCATTGTAACATCCCACAACTCAATATCCAGGGAATTGGGATTTCATATCAGCCTTCAGATCAAATAATTTATTCTGCAGTAACCCACGTGTTGATCAAGTGAATTTTTCAAGTGAATTTTTCCAGAGATCATACATCTTTGGAATGGGCACCAGTAAAAATGACAGATCTTTGAATTTGTTGGCATCTGCTTGCTCATGGCTCTGCTCCTTTTGGAGATATTTACAGCTGTGCAAGTTTATTAGGGCTTTGCATAAAAGCAAATGCAAAGCTCATCACACAATTATAATTTCTGCTGTTAAGCTTCTTCCTATTTTTGTTTATTTATTATGCCAATGTATTTTGAGTTTTTGAGTTGGAACAGCCTTGTACACACACATTTTCCCCTCTAGCAATTTGTTAAAATTGCTTTCTGGATATATGAACTTGCTGCTTGTTTCGACCTTTGCAGCAATAAGACCCCTCAGACCTGCAGATAAAAACTGCAAACCATTGATCAGGGCTCTGCACAGAGGAACAGCAGTGACCTGCAGCAGCTGTTTGTCCAAGCCTGGAAAGCACTAGTGACAAAGCTAATTAATTAATTTCTCAACTCCATGCCTTCTGTTTAATGTACATGCCAGCAGTGAACCACATTATTTCACTGCAATCCAAATATCTCGTGGTAATGCGACAATGTTCTGCTAATGTTTGTTGAGAATTTCATTAAAAGATACATTGGGAAGGCAGAATATTGGTTTGTTTCTCCTACTGGGTTTTGTTCCCCTCTGTTTGGTTTCACTCTGAATCCCCAGTGTTTCTATTACATGTGATGACGTTTCAATATTATTGAAACTATTAGGAGTTTCCTTAATATTTCCAAATCTACTTTTATTCATAATATTGCTTCTACATCAGCTCTAGCAGATCTTTCTAAAGCTCTAATTCCACATACACAGTATAAAAAGATAATAACCTGTTTCTTCCACTAATTTACACACAGAGTGAAGCTAAAGAGAAATCTGCATTTCTACACTTTTAAAGCACATTAAGACATAAAAATCCCAAGCCCTCCATGCCCTGTTCTGGGATTTATCTTGAAATTGTGAATGTTACTATTTATCATGAGAGAGGAGTGACAGTGGTGCAACACCCACCCCTGAGCACTCACAGGCACATGCTTCCAGGTCTCATGGACATTCAAGTGCAAAGTTTCCACAAGTTTTTGCTCTCAGTGTCAAGAAAAAAAAAAAATCTGAGATTGTTTGAGATTGTCAGATATAGCAGAAAGGTGTGGGCATCACCAAATCCATAATTCCATAATTAAACATATTTATACAGTATTATCCACATATACACTAGGCAATACTTACAGCTCACCTGATACTAAGGAAAAGTCCTGGTTTAAGCTGGGATAAAGTTACTTTTCTTCCCAGTAGCTGAACAGGGCCATGTTTTGGATTGAGAATTCTCAGTATATAGACTGGGGGAAAGCTGGCCAGGGGCCACTGCTCAGGAACTGCCTGGGCATGGATCAACAAGTGGTGAACAAATGTCTTGAGCATTACTTGCTTTGCATATTCTAGCCCCACTATTATTAGAATCTCTTTCTTTCCTATTGAACTCTCTTTATCTGAATTAATGAAGTTTACTTCTTTTCTTCCAATTCTCTTCTTCATCTACTGCATTCCTATTTCACTTTTCTAATGTTCTCTGCTTGTTGGTTCAAATACAGCTGGGGAATAGAGAAGGACTTCAAAGAGGAAAACTAGATGTTATTCATACTACCACACTGATCCACAGATCATTTCAATAAAATAAACAGACACAAAAAATCCACCCTAAAAGTGTTTACCAAAAATTGCAGACTTGCCTTTTTGTTACCTCGGTTTCTATTTGGACAGTGAAGTTTGTGATTAAGTTTTTTGACCTCTTGCTCTTCCACTCCCCAGTGAGATGATTACTGTGAAAGACTTTTTGGAGATGCACTGACACTGAAGAGATTTCCACAACACAGCAGCAGAAATTAACCTTAAACAGCTAATTTGTGCCCAGCTCCTGACACACAGAGTCCTTCCTTGGAGCTTTTCTACGACAGTCCTTCCCTCTCTAACGACTATTTTGTTTTCAAACTTTCTTCCTCTCACCCCTGAGACTGAGGATCCCTCCTGACTGCTGGATCTGAAGCAGGAGCTTTGATCCAGTGCCTGCTGAACTCCATTGGTTTCAGCCAGCCTCAGAAGGTGCTGGATCAAGGCTGGAGGGTCTGGAAAACATTCACTAGATACGGTGTGTGGAGCTGAGAGATAAAGCTAGTAGAAAAGGGAGAGGGGGAGAAGGAGGGAAAGAAAAGCATTTCCCTGAAGATGTTTCGTTTTCATTTCACACAACACTTCAAATTGCACACGATTTTTCAGCCTTTACTACTGAGTGCTCTGAAAAAAATTTGAAAATCTGCCATGTCACACCAAAGAGGAGGCGAGTAACTTTCTCTTGTCAGAATACAAATGACAACACATCTTCTCTCTTTCTCTGGTGCCTTGTCATATCATCCTCTGTCTTATTGTATTTTAAAGAGAACTACCCAGCCCTCAATTCTTGTTGCACAAATCAAACCAAGACAGTGCCCATTTTGAGAAAAATCCTTCACTAACCTAAGATTTGTTCTGTAGCATTTCCATGATTCAGCTGAAAGGGAAAAGAACCAATCTGCTGTGAGAGAAAGGATTTAATTGCTCTGGTTAGAAGAATTAATCTAGACAAGCTCAAAGAATACAAAGAAAGGAAATTTCTCTTGTTGGAAACTGAATTTTGCTCTTGGATATGCATCTGTAACTTCTTCTGAAGTTAGCAGCGTATCAAAGGCAGGATTAGGACATAGGACATTTGCATCATTAGCCACGGATCCAGACCAAGGGTGGGAACAAAGGGCCTTTAATAAGCTGAAATTAACAAATATTTTAGTTGCTTACCTGCTCCATTTCTGTAAAGGTGCTCTGCTCCTCATCCTCCTCCTCGATATCCGACTCACCCACAGCAATAGGAACACAAATGGACAGGTCAGGATTGGTCATAAAATCATCATCTGTAATTGCTGGGTGTTTCTCTCCATTTTTAGTCACTCCATCCTCAGCGCGGTTCTCCTTGTGGTTCTCCCCGTCTTTGCCGAGCTCGGCCGCGGCGTGGCTGTTCACGCAGTTGTTGAGGGCTCCTGGGTTCTGGGCAGCGAGTTTCATCATGGCCTTCTTCTCAGCTGTGGTCTTGGGGTGCCGCAGGACGTGGCAGCAGAAGTTCCAGGCGGCTTTTTTGGCGTACTGCAGGCCCCTGTTGATGCGGGCGAAAGCGAGCTGCAGGTTGTTCATCTCCCCGTCCTCGTCCGGGGCTGACAGGTTGTCGGCGCTGAAGGAGCTCAGCAGCAAGGCAAGGAACAGGTTGAGCACCTGAAGGGAGTGAGGTTAAAAGGAATTCGGTGAACTTTAAATGTGGGGGGCACGTGTTTGTGTGGAAGAGGTTTTACAGCGAGTTCTGGAGCAGCTTCTTCCCCGCTGGATCCCCAGAGGAAGACCAGGCCCATCTACTCCATCACCAGACCTTCAGAGAAAACTCCACCCTGCTACAGATCCCCGCTCCAGCAGCATTTCTTCTGCCACTCCAGGAGGAGCAATCACCATTTAACTGGACTATTACCAACACCCTGACTCCTCAGGGTGTCAGGTTTCTGACTCTATCAGTAGTTTTGTTTGTACTAATTACATTTTTTTAAATTTTATTTTTATTTACTTTTTTCCTAATAAACAACTGTTATTCCCATATCTTTGCCTGAGAGCCTTTTAATTTTGAAATTGTGGTAATTTGGAGGGAGGGGGTTTACCTTTTCCATTTCACAGGAGGCTCTTGCCTTCCTTCACAGACTCCTGTCTTTTAAAACCAAGACAGAGCCAGAGAGGAGTTTGATAAGAGGATCCATGTTTAGCCCTGAAAGAATTTTCTACCAAGGTTGTTGACACAGAAACCAAGAAAGAAAGGAGGATAAATAAGAGAAACCTGCAACTGCCTATTCCAATAAGCACTTTGTCTTTTTTGACCAATGAGTAAAGTGTAAACTTTTGAGTTTTGTATAAAAATAATATATTAAAAGCATGCATGCTATAATAAAAACAGGTTCAAAGCATTCTGAAAATGGACTGTGTTGCTTTGTATTGTGACCATCTCAACTATGACATATTTGGTCCTGAAAACAGGAGGGTCTGATTTAATCTCATCTGTGGCACTGTAACCCCATCATGGAAATTCCTCTAATTACAGGTGGTTTCAGCAGGAAAAGGAGTCTGCAGGCATTTTCAAACACATTGACCTAAGGTACAAAAGTTTAGCATGGACAATAACACACACTGACATTCCCTTCCTCCCTTCTCCACCCCCAACACCCCAAAACACGGAAAATAAAAGCTCAGAAACAGAATACAAAAAAGAAAAACAAACAAAAAAACCCCAAAAAGCTCTGGGAAGACCTCACTGTGGCATTTTAGTGCTTTAACAGGGTCTATAGGAAAAATGGGGACAAACTTTCTTGTAGGATTGTTGTAATAGGACAAGGGGAAATGGCTTAAACTCAAAGAGGGGAGTCTCAGACTAGATTTAGGGAAGAAATTTTTGAAGATGGGGATGGTGAGGTACAGGTTGAATGCTTCCATCACTGGAAGCACTCAAAGTCAGGTTGGATGGGGCTCTGAACAACCTGATCTAGTTAAAAATGTCCTTGCTCACTGCAGGGGTTTGGACTGGTGCCCTTTAAAGGTCCCTTCCAACCCAAACCCTTCTATGATTCTATGACAATGATGTACATAGGCAAGGCACTTCAACCACACTGTACATTTGGAAACATTTCTAAACATTTGTATGCATTTTCACAGACAGTCTTGTTTTAAATATCCTCTGGGCCATGAAGGAAATCTATTGTGACTGTGAATAAACACCTCTGAGGTCATATATCTTCAAAAACTTTTCCCTCCAGGCTAAAACAAGCCATCACAACCAGATTACTGTGGCCAAATCTGAGCAAGACTCACTCCCAAAGCAGGCTTGGTCCTGAAAATGCTGTTACTAGTCAAGAAAAAAAAAAAACAATGTGAAGATTTTCTCAGGTCTGTGAAAAGATCCAAACTGAACTTGAGACTGTGTGTTACCTTCCTCTTGTTCTTGTCACTTCAGAACTCTCTACTTTTGCTGGCAATGAGGGGCAAGATTAGACACAGCTAGGAATTTAAGCAATGTATTTGATGGTTTAGACCTCTTTTTACACCCTGAATAAATACCATTATATCAAATAAATAAAACCAACTCAAAGGCCATCCCAAATAATATATCTCACAACCTGGCCACCAATTGCTGTATATTGAACATTACATCTGCTCATGGTCTGAGAATAAATAAATTACACCTTTTGTGCTGGATTTATCAGGGCAAAAAGTTCACACTGGAGGTGGATGCTTGGGATGACAGGAACAGGGCAAAGGTGACTCAAACCAATATCTGCTAAAATATATTTACCCCAAAACAAACCAATCCCAAATTTCTTGGTATCAACTCAGCTGCTGCCTGTACCAAGTGGGTGGGTGACAGCTCTGGGTACCACCAAGGAGAGGTCAGTGCTGCAGCACTCCTGCTATTTACAGCAATAAAATGGACTTTGTGCAGGTATTTTCTCTGTGATCTCTTAATGCTACCAGAAATACCTGTAAGCCTCCAGACTTCTCTCTTTCTAATAGTACTTAAAGTTGATAACACCTTCTAGACCAACATAAACGTCATCAAAAGTACTTTTATTTAACTGGGCATTACCAAAGTGCCACAATCTTTTGCTATCATCCCCTTACCCTGTTCCCTCTTATTTCAATTATTCAGAATATATGGGATAGAATTCTAAAAACCTGGTCCTAATCACTCTGATGACACTGTTTGAAGTGTTTGAAGTGCCCTGTCAGTGCTGTTTTGTAAAGTACCCTTTGCAATCACTGTGATTGGAAACAAAAGCAGTTGGTGGCACAGCAAATGCCCCCGTCCATTATGAACCACTGAATAAACCATCACTGCCCCGAGCACTGCCCTGCTCTAAAGTAAAATGAGATTAAAGGGAATTGTTTCTTAGCTGGTCCACCACACTGACAGCTTGTGTGGGTCTCTTCATCACTGTGGTGGCTTGGTGGGAATCAGTTTTTCCTTTCACACCTCACTCACAGGTATTGCCAAGTGGTGCTGTGTGAAAACAGAGCAGTGGACATGCAGCCAAGCAGGTGGGAGCCCATCAGGGAAGGAGGCACTGATAGATCCCCTTCAGCCATTTTCCACCCAGCTGGACAGCAGGATGGGGTCTCAGAGATAACCACAGTGCTGCAAGTCTCCTGAAAATAAGCACGTGTGTATGTAAGAGAGAGCAGCTGGAGGAAGGGAGGGGATAAAGGAATCCAGAATAAAAATCTCCTGGACTCTTTAGGTACAATTCAACTACCTTAACAGAGGTGTCTGATGATGTTGCAGGGTGTCTGAGATATCTGCAGCTGACCCACAGGAGGTCTGTGTCCTCCCAAAGCTCCAGCTGCCATCCAACCAGGGCATCCCAGTGTGCTGCAGGAGGACACAGACTGGCCAAATTTAGGGGACTGAATTGCTCATCAAGGATGGCAGCTGCCTGCAGCCTCAGACACCAAACCCTGAGGGTCTAATGGTGCATCTAAGCCCTGTTTCAATTAGAAATTAATCTTGTGGGCAGCAGAGACTGACCAAGCACAGTGACCATGCCAGGGCTACGCCCATCTGCCAATGTCTAATGCCAACTGACCCTTCCATGCCCAAGTCATCCTCAGGTAATTGCCCAGAAGGACACGCTGCTCTGGGAGATCTGTGTCCAGCTGGAGGCCAGGATGGATACCTTGCAGCACCTCCAGTGGTCCTCAGGAAAAACTGAGTCAATCCCTAGACCTCTGCAGAGCAGTGATAGCTCAGACATCTCCATACATGAATATCTCTTTGTATGCACAGGAATTTCGTTATCTGAAGCTGAATTTCATCCTGTACTTCATTAACTCTGCCGTTCACTAAAGGTTTGAACCACCTTGATTCACTTTTCTGTATTCATTTCAGACATCAAGCCACATATATACATTAGATACGTTTGTCTATGCACCTGCAGGTACATGTAATAGGGGGTGGCATCCTTAGTGTTGTTATTTACCATGGATTATTAAAGCAACCTTCAATTAAATTTTCTTCCCAGAAATGCAGCTGACATTTTGCACAAAGACCTGTTTGCACTTCATGCTTTTAGCCAAAAATAAATGTCAAATATCATTCCCTGCTTCCTCCATGAGCAGGTAACCTCAGAGTTGCATTGCTGGGCATTCAAACAGAATGAACTGCTGAGTAAGCACTTTATGTTTACTTATTTCACTGTACACTGCATTTTCCAGAAAAAATACACACCTAACTCTTGACATCCGACATTTCCTGTAAAAGGTTACTAATAATACCCAGTTCTTCTGGCTGCTAACACAGTGCTTTCAGTTTAAGCAAAAGCAAACTAAAGATTACCTCAGTTTCCAAAAGTAATGGCAGATTTGTATGTCCATATGGATCCTCTTAAAAAGAAATCTGCTTTCCAGTGACACTGAGCAGCCAGACGGTGAAAGCAGGTCACTTTTTTGGTCTTTGAGGCTGGGAATCATATGACAGATGCACTCAAAGAACCCTGAATTATTTCAGTATAATTATGTTAAGCTTTTAGCCTAATGACAACCCAGCATGCTTTCGTTTACCTTCTCACTTTTAATGCCTTTTCCAAAGCTCGTGACTCAGGTTGTGCCAGGATAAGGCACAAATGATCAGATTAATCCAGCCTTATGTCAGGTGCCTCCCCGAGGTGCTTAAGCAGGAGCTTTCCCAGGATGTCTGTAGACAGTGGAGACAGTCTGGCATCCCAGGGGATGCTGAGGAGCTGAGCAGTGCCCACCAAAGACTAAGCAAGCTTGGATTTTGTATCTCAGAGCTGGATTAAAGGTAGATGCAGCTCAAACAAGCCACACAGAATCACAGAGGATCTCAAGATGGAAGGACCCATAGAATCATCAAGTCCAGCTCCTGCATGTGCGAATCCAGGGCTTCCCTCTGGCTGCCCTGGAAGGTCTGGGACCCTGGCAGGGGTCAGGAACCCCCCTGGACAGAGCCCCCAGAGACACTGTCTGTGATCTCTGTCCATGGAAAAGAGTTTTCAATCTTACAGGATGAATTACCAGCTCTGAGTGTTTGATATCAGAATAATTAAGTGTGGCACAGGTGCAAAAGTAAAATTTTAGATTTCTAAATTAAGGGTTCAAAGGGGACAAGATAGAGGAAATTGGGTGTGTCTTGTCCTTTTTCTCCTTCTTCATGCCCTCCATATTTCACT